CCGTAGGATTCGCACTCACGGCTCCCGCCTCGTGCCTCGTGAGTAAGTGTCTTCACTGGGCCTCCCGAGCGAGCTGGGCATTCAGCCCCGCGGTCAGCGAGGGGAGAAACGAACCCTAGAACAAGATGCCCTTAGTGTGAGCTCTCCAGCCCCACCCCAGCTTCTCAGGTCCCTGACCGGCCGGTCCCGCTGACCTGCACCCAGAGCTAGGAGCGCCCCTGGCCCCCTGCCGCCTGGTCATCTCAGTCCTCCGCGGGCTTCCACACCACGGACTTTGGTGTCGCCCCCGAGGTCAGAAGCCGAGTTCTCCAGATTGAGACTTCCATCTCCTCCCCAACAAAACGAAAACGCCTTCACAGACAGTGTGCAGGGCAGGTGAGATGACTCTTTTGTTCCCCAAGGAACAGCGCTTGCTTGTGGTCAGGGCTGGAAGGAGTTAAATTCGTAGCGCTAGGGCCCAAGTTCTGAGCGGCCCGTTTTCCAGCCCCAAAGAGCGGGTCGGGCAAGAAGTGACCCTCAACGAGTGAGAGTTGGGCAGTACGGGAAAGCGTGGATCCCCAAGTGGAATCTGTGTTCGAATCTCCGCTCCCCTAACTGGCTGTGTGACCTTGGGAAAACCACGTAACCTCTCTGGACCGCAATGCTCTCTCATAAAAAATCTCCTAGTGTTCTTGGGAAGCGCGGGGGAGGTGTCGTGTGCCGGAACTCCAGCGCACAGTAGGCTGCGTTAAGCGCCGGCTCCTCCTCCATCAAAACCTCCCAGCGAGGTAGGTGGCTACTCTGCGCGATTGATCCGACGTTTCCTGCCAGGGAAGGAAATTGATCCTTAAAGGATCAGACCCGGGAACCCCTACCCACTCTGCCCTCGTCTGATAAACAAGCAACTGCGTTCCAAGGACTAGGCTAGACGAGAAGCAGTACCCCAGCCCCTCCTCGAATTCCCGCTGGACCCAGCTGAATCTGGCTCAGGGTCCTCACCCCACAGCAGCGCGCCGCCCTGACGCAGCAAACATTTATTGAGCACCTTATGTGTGCATGCCTGGTAGAGGGAGGGAATTCAGAAACAAAAAAGGGAGCAAAGAAAGGGCTGGACGAAAAGAAACAGAATGGGGAAACCAGGAGACAGAGAAGTGGAAGGAGATCCGGACCCAAGGCGGGCAGAAGGGCTGGGGCGCGCGCAGAGACGGGCACGGGCGGGGGTCTCAGGGCGGCGGCGAGTTCCAAACCGGTGGGGGAAGGGGAAGCGCCTGCCTCGCCTGCAGCTACCGCCTTGCTGGAGCCGCGGCGCGTCTGCCGAGCGCTAGCCGTTGCTCATTACTGCAATTATGTTGCTCTAAGTTTGCTTCGACCCTAAATTGCCAAGTTTCAAGGAGCCAGGAGGCCCTAGAGGCCGGGCCGGAGGAGACACCCGATCCTGCCCCGCCATTCCCTTATCCCGCACACGTGGAAAAGACTCCAGTGTTGCCGACGCACCATGAGCTGAGAAAATTCAGATCCACCCGGTATTCCCTGAGCTACCTCCTGCGCGGGGGCTCCTTGACACTTGACCAAAATCCTGGGGGCAGGGGAAGGATTCTCAGGCCCATTTCGCAGATAAGAAAACTGAGGAATGGAGAGACAGGGATCTTCCCTACCCAAAGTCAGGCAGTCAGGAAGTGGCAGGGCTGGAATGAACCACCTGGGCTTGTCTGACTTCAAGTTCGCTACCACCCTCAGGATAGAAGAGTCGCTAAGGGTGTTCCAGAAAGGAACCCAGAAGATCTGAGGAAGCCAGGGTCACTAGCCTTGCTGAGTTTATAGAAGGGGGAAATCCTTTCCGTGTCTGCAAGAAACAGTGATGTACCTCGGCCCTCAAGCGCCTGTAAAGGGCTGAGTAGGCCGATGAGTCTGAGACATTTTCAGGTGGGACACCCCTCTTTTGGGGATGAAGAGGTCCAACTCGGGTTCTGGCCGTGCCTGTGTTAGCGCAGAAGCCAAGGACTCCCCTAGACTGTCTGGTGCAGCAGAACTACACTCCGAGACAAGCTTGCTTTCTTTTCTTAGGGAGGGGAGTCGTGACAAGTTCAGACTGCGGCCCCAGCCTTCCGGACAGAACCTTTGGCGGAGCTACCGCGGCTGCAGGATCTGAGACCCAGGGTACCCCGGAACTTGCCTGGCGCCAGCTGAGAGCCCGCCTAGAGTGCGTGGGCGCAACCCTGTGCTGTCCTGCAATTCCTAGGCTGACCTCCCACCCCTGGAGATAAAAACCCCCGCAGGGCGCCCCAGACTCGGTTTCCTGGTTGTGTGAGACGGTCTCCGTCTATGGAGAAGTCCATCCTCCGTAAGTCTAACGCCAAGTACTTCGGGTTTTGCTGTAGGATTCCTTGGTCTGCTGTAGGCTGTTCGTTGCAAAGACTCACTGCAAAGGCTTCCAGGGGCTGCCCTGCGTGGGGTTGGGAAGCGCGGGACAGAGGTGTCGGGAGAGGGCGCAGATCTGGTGAGAATTAAGCCAGGGCCCCCACATCGAAAGGGAACTGAGCGGCGCCTGGAACATAGTAGGCTTTATTTACTAGAGGTCATTTTCTGTGGTCAACATCCTTGCGCAATTGCCCCCAGAAGGCTAAACTTGGCACTTGTTCAAATATATTCTGCTAGCCTACATTTAACCTACTATATAAAAGAAAAACCAAATTTGTAGGCAGGGATCCTGCAAAGGACACACCAAAGCGGGAAGTGTATGGTCAACCCTGGGTTTTCAGTGAAGTGTTTTGTTGTGTTTTGTTTTTTAAGGGGTTGTAATAAGGAGTGTGAAGGCGGTCACATTCTGGCAGCTCAAAATTAGTTCCACAAACCGCGTCTACACAGGCAGCAGCGATTTAGAGAAGCAAACCAGGGCCTCTCCATCCCCCACCTGGCCTCCTGTGGGAAAAACAGGTTTGTGGGGGTGGGAATTGTCTGGATTAGCTGTCTGCAGTCATCAAACCATTTGGGTGATTCGCTTTGTTTTCACAGACAGGTTAAAAGGGGAGAAAAAAGAAAGAGTCCGTTATGGGTCGCCTGAGCAAGTGTCGATTTCAGCTTAAAGTGAATTGGAAAATTGAGCCTAATTATCCTAGGTAATTGCTTCAATTCTCCACTTGACTTTGCTAATGCAGATCTGTCCTGGGGTATGTTCAAAAAGACAGCCCCCTCTGTCCCTGAATATCTTGTTGTCACCTTTGAAAAGTTGCTGGCGTCAAACTACCATCAAACTGAAAGGCAATTGTATATGTGATGAGACGGCAAGAAGTAAAATTAAAAGACTAAATCAGTAAGATCATTTCTTGTAGCTTAAAATTAATTTATTTAACAAATATAGCTATAATATAAATGATAATAAAATTTCAAATATACAGTATATTACAACAATCCCTTCCAAAGGGAATCTTGAGAGCCACCCAAATGTACTGTTAAATAGAAACAGAATTTTTCGTTTTTATTTTACAATTTTTTTCCGGTACTGGTGAGAGAGAGGTCCCTTCAACCTACCTTTGTCGCGCATCTCTGCATCCCTCCCCCTTCAAAAGCAAATGTCCTGCTGTTACAGTTCGTAAGTTTTCCAATGGCAGGACCCAGGATCCAGGCATGTTCTTCTCTTTCTCTCTGACTGTTCTCATTTCCAAAATCTTCCAACACGAATTTCTCTGTGCTTTTCCTGCCTAGTGTCAGGACAGGAGGCAACGATGCAGGAGACCTGGCCTCTAGTTCTGGTCCAACCACGAACTCTGCTGGGGACTGTGGATCCGTTTCTCAACCTCTCTGGCCTCAGTTTCCCCATCTATAACACAAGGGGGTAGATCTAGATTCTGGAAGAGCTTTATGGGACCCTTCTAGCCATTCGGGGGAGGGGATCAGACTTCAGAGAGTGAACTTAGGGAGCAACCGAGGAAAAATCGGAGCAGTGTGGGGGTTTAAAGGGAAGCAGCCAGGCGGTGCCCAACAGGGAGCGCCTGGGGAAGGCTCCTGCTGTTTGCTGAAGCCCAGCGCTGGAGGAATCGGCGGGCACCCAGTAGGCGACCCCGGGCATCTCTATGTCAGGTGGTACATGCTGTAGCCTACGTGGGCTGTGTAGAGTCCCACGGGCGCCACGGGCAGCGCAGCGCGCTGGAAGGGGCTGGAGGCGCCGTAGAGCGAGGCTCCTGCTGCAGCCGCGACGGCCGCGGGGCCGCCGAGTGGGAAGGAGAGGCCGAAGGCTGCGGGGGGCAGCATGGGTTTGGCGGCCATCTTCAGCTTTTCCAGCTCTGCCTCCTGCAGTCTCTTGGCCTTGGCGCGGCGGTTCTGAAACCAGATCTTCACCTGCGTCTCGGTGAGGCTGAGCGAGCTGGAGAACTCGGCGCGCTCGGCGATGGACAGGTACTGCTTCTGGCGGAACTTGCGCTCCAGCGCCAGCAGCTGTGCGGTGGTGAAGGGCGTCCTCGGCTTGCGGTTGGTCTTGTGCTTGCGCAGGGTGCAGGCCGGGGGGCTCAGCCGCCCTAGGGGGCCGAGAGAGAGAAACGCAGGGGGTTAAGGATCGGCGCAGGAGACTAAGCCGTCCATAAAGGGGTAATAATAGCCAATGACAACACCCGCTATTCGTTTTCCGTCGAGCACCGTGTGAGGCACTTGGAAAATATTTTTTCCAATTGCCACCGCAACCCCGCAGGGTGGACGTTTTTGCCTACCTTTTGCAAATGAGGAAACTAAGATTCCAGGGGAAACATACCATGTTCAAGGCCCGAAATAACTGAGAAAGGGCGGAACAGCTCTTAGGAAAGCCTTTCACAGTGGGGCCTTCTCCCACCGCCGCCACATGGGACGGTGGATGTTAAAAGAACAATGAAACAGGCAGAAAGAGGCCTTGCACCCAGCCCAAGATCACATTTAGTTTTATGCGTTGGATAAACATTTATCTTTGCTCACCAAGTGCTCAGCACTGAGCTAGGCCGTTTTGTGGCCTAGAATTGAGCTCTCCAAATTCCACACTCTTTCCCTTGGAACAGCGCTTTCCTACAGGGTTCTAAGCGCAGTCCCGGCAGAGCCAAGTTGGTGCAACCCCGGATGTCACGAACGTGGCACTATGGCCAAGTCTCAAATATGAAAAGTACCATGGTTTGGGGAGATGCTTCATTTTAACAGGGTGGCTTCTTCTGATTGTTTCTATTGTCTCCTGGGCCTCTCCCACCCGAGCGCCTGGGCCCTCTGGTCACATTCACATGTATGTGGGGAGCGGGGACAGAGGGCTGTGCAATGGCTTCTCCACCTGGACCTCAGTCCACAGAGATCAACACCGCTGGTGGCGAGCTGTCTTTTTCTTACGGCATCACAATACACTTCAAGGATAGGTTGTGTGTGAGCACCCCCCGCAGAGGGCTCATGCAGATCCAGGACGGGGTCCGAGGGGCGAATCAACCCCTGCCACACCCAGCGGCTGCGGCCGGTTAAAATCAAAATGTAGAACAAATTATTCCCAGGACAACAGAGACCACGTTGACTTTGGGGTCGGAACCCGGGCCCTAAAAGAATTCCCAAGTCCTGGAGACGATGCCTTGCTTATGCAGCAGCTTCCCTCGGGAGAGAAATGAAGTCAAATTGAGAATGTTTCACCATGCGGGTTTTGCCTAATTATGCATTTTTGGACGCTTAAAAAAAAAAAAAGATCTTTGGGCCCTCAGGCCGCCAGGATGTGAGTCAAGCAAAATCTCGTGTTAACATCCCCTCTTTTTCCCAGCTCGAGGCCATTGAGAGTCCGGGAAGCAGTTGGCCCCCGACTCGCTTTCCGCCCGGCCACCCGAGGGGCGGGAGACGAGGGAAACGTCACTCCCATCGGCAGCAACAACCCAGCGCTGGGCCACCTTCTCCTGCAATTAGGCCCAGGGAGGGGCCGGCCTTTCAAAGACGTTTAAACCCCAGATAAAAATCATTCCTCAGCATCACGCCATTGAATTCGGGTTGCTATTATGCCGCACAAAATAATCGGAGGAAACTAGGAAAACTTGGGAATTTCCCGTGCTCCTGAAATATCTCCGAGCGTGTTCACTGGTCAGAGAAGCCAGGGGGCCTCGAAGCCTCGGAACGACCCTGAAGGCTCCTTTCGCGGCTGGAGTCCGCTTCAATGGCCCAATCCTAGACATTTGGGAGCTCCTGACCATATTGGAGGGGGCGCCTCCCACTAATGGACTTGATGCCCCGCCCCCTCCACTGGAACCCGAGCGCCCCCCTCCAATGATCCATCCACCCTAGCACCAAGTATCTACCTGAAACAACATGAAGGCGGAGGTCGGGTGGGGTGGGGGGTGGAGGTGGTAATTTGCAAGAGCTTCAGACTCTCTGTTCAAAGAAATACCGTATGGAGGGGGTTGGGGGAGAAGAAATGGGAAGGGGCGTTAGTGGCTTCTACTATGAGAAAGTGAAACTTGCGCGCTGGAAAGATGTCCTCACCACTCGAACCCGCCCGTTGGGGTAACGGCGAAGTAAGGGGGCTTAGGGTCTGACAAAGAAGCCAGAACTCACTCCTAGGGTCGTTTGGTGGAGGCAGGAGGAGAGGGTGCCCAGACACTCGTGTCCTACAAGTGAACTCCTACCTGCAGGGTCACCGGGCCAAGGTAAGAAGCCTGCGAAAGTGGACCTGAGGGCTGGGCCTCAGCCAGGCCTCGAACCCTCTTCCTAGGTGGGAGTGGGGAAAGGCAGAAACCGTGGCCTCCCTGCCAACCCATCTGCGGCACCGGCTCCAGGTACCCGGCTGCAGGTACGCAGACACCAGAGACAAGCAGGCGCCGGCGCTCGCTCGGCCTGGAGCCCTCGGGTCCCACAACCCCGCCTGGCCCCCTCCCCCGCCACCTGAGTTCTGGCTACTCACTGGCCGGAGGCGGGGAGAAGCGGGGGTTCTGCATCCACGGGGTCCTCTCGGGCTTCTCG